CAACACTCAAATCTAAATCAGTAGCAATTGATGTAAAAGCAAATGCTTGATTATATGCTCTTATTTGGTCAACAAATGGTACTTTAGATATTGGATCTTTTTCTGTAAGAAAATAAAGAATTTTTGGTGGTGGTGCTTGAAGTGGTGCTAATACAACTTCACCATTCATGCAACAAAGTCTTGGTTTTTCCCCCTTCCATCTTAATGCCCCACAATATTTACATTCAATGTTCATTTTCCCCACACTATGTCCACCAATGTTTTTTTTATCATCCCCATCATTATCATCGTCATCATCATCATCACTATCATCCCCACTATCATCCCCATCATTATCTCCATCATCATCTCTATTATCATCTTCATCATCATCCCCATCATTATCTCCATCATCATCTTCATTATTATCCCTATTATTATCTTCGACCTCCTCCTGATATTCATCTAAACTACAATATCCTATTTTATAAAATTGTTCAAATTGTTCTTGTTTTTTCTTTTTGTGTCTTTCTCTATCTTTTTCTTTTACTTTTTCTTTTTGTGCTTCACTTAAAGAAGCTCTATGTGCTCGTTGTCTATCTCTTTGACCTTCTTTTGTTTTTGATCTTGAGTCTGATGATGTTTTAGAAGTTCTAGATCTTGTTCTTGTTGAAGGTCCTGAATTTCCTTCTTCTAATGTTTGATAATATCTATATTTAGCATTTCTTTTATTTTTTAATCTATTTTCTCTATCTTTTTTAGGCTCAGTTTCAGGATTTTCAGGTGCTGCATATTCTCTTAAAATATAATCAGGAGTAGGTCTCTTTTCTCTTGTTTCTTTCTTTTCTTTTTTCTCTTTCTTTTCTTTCTTTTCTTTTGGCATTTTCTATCTCAGTTAAAAAAAAAATTATAATAAAATTATTAATTATTTGTATAATTTATAAATAAAACAAAACATTTATTAAATAAATCATATAAATTTTTAAAATTTTTACTTTAATTGTAAATTTTTTACCTTCTTTTTAAATTTTATATGTTTTAATAAATTTGTATATTTAATATTAATTTATAATATTTTATTAAAATTTCTATTAAACTTACTTTTATTTAGTTTATTTATTATGTTTCTAAAACCTATAACATAATAATTTATTAGTTTAACAAAAAATTAGCATATAAAATTTAATAAAAATTAAGTGTTTTTTTTTTTTAATAAAAAAAGAGTTAAAAAATATTTAAAAAACATTTTTGCCGAAAGTTTTAATGCAAAACGTATCCGTAGGTTACACAAATTTCAATACGTTACGCCAATTTCGATACGTTACGCCGATACATTACGTTACGCCGATTTGTAACGTTACGCCGATTTTATCTATTTTTATATTTATTTTAATTAATTAATTTAATTAATTTTTAATTAATTTATATTATTAATTAATTATTTTTTTTTAACGTACGTGGTCACGTGACCCCGATTTTGGGTCACCGACCATTTTCGTGGGAATTCGAATTCCCATAAGTCACGTGATTTCGCCGCTTTGTCGGAGTTTCAAACTCCGTTTCGGTGAGTTTGAAACTCCTCCGATTTCGCAGGAATGCGAAATTTGAAGTCACGTGACTTCGTCGCAATCGGAGTTTAAATTTCAATTGCCTCACTCTTCTTTCACTTCGCCTCTTTCTTTGCTTTTCGCTCTTTATCTTTTTCACCCTCGCTTACTCCCACCCTCACACCTTCCTTTTCTCCCCTCTTTACCCTCTCTTCGCTCTCTCCCCACTCTTTTTTCCACTCCCCCTCCCTTTCCGTCTCTTCCTTTTTTTTTATCTTTAATTTATAAAAAATTTTATTTTTTATTATTTTTTTTTTTCTTTACTATTTGACATTTTTCTGTCACTAAGTTTTTATATGCAGGACGTTTTTTGCCTGCTTCGCAGGCAAAAAACGTCCTGCTTATAAAATATTTAGTGACGGAAAATGCCAAATAGTAGAGGGTGGATTTATCGATTGATTTATGCAGTTGACTTATCGTATGATTTTGTAGTCTCTTGCATTGTTGTAATTTATTATATGATCTGTTTGATCCATTGTTGATTTGTGACATGATGACATAGTTTTTTATGATTAGTAATCGTTAGTCAGTATTTAAGGAAAATGGAGTTTTTTCCAGGAAGGGTAAGTTCCGTTTTTTCTGCTAACCGACTTTGTCTGGTTTTTTTTTTTACCCCTTGCCCTCCCCTAGTGAACATTCATTGGGGATTTGCCCTATCGAAATAAAAATCATTGCTTAGAGAAATCATAGCTTGTCGGGTTAACAGCATTTCGAGTTTTTATAGTCTGTCGGGATGAAAGTCGTTTTTTGAGTTTTTGAGTTTTATGATAAGTGGCCTGTCGGAATGACAGTCACAGTTTATTTTTGATTTTGCAATAAAGGTGGCTTGTCAGAATGACAGTCACAGAAGTTTGGTTGCGACAGGGTTTTTTCCAGTAGGATTCTGGTTTTTTTTGCCCCGCCGCCAAATATTACCCCTATAGTAGTATGCATAGTAGACAGTAGCTTAGGCTCTTTTTATATGATATTTTCAAAGTCTGTATTGTTAGTTTTGTACATTTGGCATGTTAGCGGAAGGAACAGATACCCATAATTGATTTTCATTTGATTTCTATTTGTTTTCTAATTGTTTTTCGATTGCTTTCTGATTGTTTGTCAACTGCTTGCTATCTGTAATACCCCTCAATGAGAGACAAATCAGCCAATTCAATATATCATTTAGGAGTTCCAGATACAAACTCTGGTCACAACCCTTTGCTATTTACTTTTTTTTGACAATCCTAGATCTGAGATATAAGATTGTGGGCTTACAAAACATCACCTTATGAAAATCAGCACGAATGTACCCTGCACTATTATTAATACTATTTAACTTATATGCAGTATCTTTTAAATTTTTTGTCAAATATTTGTAAAAGACTTCTATTGTTAGCATACTAAAATACTATCAAGCATTTATTTGTTTGTGTTTTGGGTTATTCCTTATATTGCGAGCTTACAAAGTTTTATATTCCATAAGACTTTTAAACTTAAAGCTTAAGTAATTGATTAGTTTAGTAAACTATTAGATAAATTATCAAACCAATAAATTAACTTACTTCTTATTGTTTTCCTTAGAACTAGCCAATATCTTAAGTGCAACAATGCTATTTGATTAACATGATCTTTTGTAAAAATACTATAATCAAATTTAATTTTTTTCAATTTTTCGTATATCACCTAACTAGGTTGCTGAATATACAGAACCAAATTCTCCATTACCAATTTTTTTAACATCAGATAATCTATTAAATTGAATCCATTCAATCGCATCTTTATATGTATAGCTCTAAGTTGGAACGGTTTTCATACAATCATTAATATGTTAAATGAATAAATATAAGGTAATTACAAGTACCCTGATATTTGCCAATTATTACCTGATAATAAACAAATACGTAAGTGTTTATCTCTTGAAGATCTGATATGCTTTGGATTTTGATACAAGCTAATAGCTATCATAATTATAGAGTATAACTGTTAGTGATAGGCAAATCACGGATTCCCAAAAATTCCACGCGTGATTCGCAGGATAGATAATCAATCAACTGGCATTCAAAATTCTTTATTTTCAGAATATTGCGAAATAACAGTCAAATTTAACAGAATATTTTGGCCCTATTAGAACATTTGTATTATGCTACGTATCCCATGCGGGATTCTATGCGAATTATGCGCATTAACCATCACTATGTACAAGTTTTAATAAGTAAACTAATTTTGAAAATAATAAATTCTTTTAAATCTTTTATCATATTTTTACAATATGATATCGAATAATTTAGTAACTTTCTATTTTATTTCAACCCTTTGAAAAAAAATTTTTTAATAGATAATTTTTATAAATGCACTTCATTTAATAAGTTTAATGTAATTTATATTAAATTACTTTTAATAATCGTACATTCTATAAATATACTTTTCTCTGCAAACTTGCACTTACTAAGACTTAGCTATATTTATAGAATGCTTAAAGCCAATTGCAAAACAAATGTTATTTATTATAAAGCAACACAATTTAATACTAGACTTTGTATAATTTTTTAATATTAGAAAGCATACAATTTTAATTAAATATATACATTCTTTTTAATATGTTCTTTTTTAAGATTTAGTTAAAAGATTGTAATGGATCAGAATGAAAATCATACATTTATAGTACAAAACAGCATAGGTATCTATTTAAAATTGTTGTTAATTTTCTATTTTTATTTTTGGCTATATTATTTCTTGGCATCTTTATACAGTTATAATACTGTATTCTTTAAAGTGTACTATTGTGAGTATAGAAAAAAATTAATTTATTTTACTATATAATAAAATTTTATTACATGTTCATATTATTATACTCTTTTAGTAGGCTAATTAATTATTGCTGATATGTACGATGGTGCAAAAATTTAAAACTTCAACACATTTATATACTGTAGGCAATTCATTGAATCAATAAAATGAAGAATCTAGAATTCTTATTATAAAAAATTTAGCTTTAGTGTAAAATATTTGCATAATACGTGAATTAATCATTACTATAAAAAAAAGCATTTTTTATTTTTTTCATTTAATAATAAATAAACAATTTCCTTGGCTATAATGAAAATTATACCTAGAACTTTAAAAAAATTTATCAATATGTTTAATAACAATTTAAAATTTTTACTCACCTTTTAAAAAATGTAATGGTGTTAGGAGTAGAGGTCTTATCCAGTTAAAAAATTTGTATTAGGATTTTTATTTGTTTAATTCTTTTAATATTCAAATATTCATTAAAAAATTTTGAATGAATATTTATTGAATATTGTATATATTATAAAACAATTTTATACTTTATTAATATGATGATTAAATAGCTTTTTTTTTTTAATATTAAGGTGAGGCCTTGCTTATATCTTTATTGAATAATTTATATAAATAGTTACATAATAAAATTATATAAAAAACTTAACTTGTATAAATATAAATTATATGCAAGAATAAGAGCTTAGACTAATTTATCTGCGACCTAAACCTACTAGAGTGGCCAAGACTTATCTAGATTTGAAAACTTTATACAAATTTAGGTGAGTCTTAGATAAGTATAAAGTTTTATAGGGGTTCTATAAGATACATAATATGTAAGTTTTTTGTAATATAAGTAAGTATAGCATTTTTAAAAGAAGTTTTGAGTATATATATAAATAAAAAAAGTTAATATAAAAATAAATATAAAGTTAAAAGAAAAAATAAAAATAAATAATATTGTTAAGTAAAAGTTGAATTTTCAGTTATAGTTAGTAATACTTCCTTGGTGCACTGAGTCTAGCATGCTATTAGTAATAATCAAATGCACAGCTCTGTAGTGCTATACACCATAACCACTGTATTACAACGGCAAAGTTATAAAGATCATTTTGTATAGTTTAAAAGAGATAGAATTTGCTGATTGGTTGCCTAATTTTGCTTGGTGTTAATTTGTCAGAGAATTTTGAGTTGTACAATATATATTTGCTTTAGATTTAAAGTTTGTAGAGAGTTTTGTTGAAGTTTTTAACAAAATGAGTAAGAATAGTTATTTTTATAGCTATTTAAAGAGGAGTTTTAAATGAAGTTTAACACCAAAGAAAGTAAAGAGTTTACTTGAAGATGAAGTTGTAGAGTTAACATAAAAGGAGAAAGTTTTTTTATCTCAGAATGAAGTTGCAGAAGGTATAAGCAAGATTTCAGTTGAAAGGTTCAAGGAGCTTTATCCATATGAGATTTATAAAGTTGGATTTATGAAAGTAGAAAGGTAAAAATTTAAATTAATATATGTTAGTTTATAATAAAATTGTATTTTTAAAATAACTAATAGAGAATAATATAGTTTACG